ATCTTGAAGTGGGCCAACTGAAGTGGGAAGGGGCTCGTACTTGCCGAGTTATATAGCGACGAACTATTTCCGGACAAACAGACAGACAGCCAGACGGAAATGAGCGTCAGTAGATCCTCGCCAAATCGTGTGAGGAGTCAAGTAAATTGACCCATTATAGTCTGTGAAATATAACATATGTATTGTGTTTATTTTTAATCTTGTGTGAGGTGTTCAAGAGGATCCTAAAATACCATGGAACAGAGAAGCTACAAGTTAAGGCAGAGCTGGATTTGAATAAGAAGGAAGAAAATAATGAGTGGAAAATGAGATGGCATGAGACTTTAATGCACAAAGACTCTCCAGTTCCGATGACAGTATTAAAAACGACAAATACCTCGATTGTTTACATACAGCTGAAGATATTCCCAAACAAAGTATTTGGATAAATTCTTCATTTTGTGATTTTCTAATTACCACTAACCTGCTTTAGATGGTTGCGGGATGTGGGCAAGCGCTTTATGGTGCCGACTTAACTATAGCTCAGTCAGGTTATACGACCTTTTCTCTACTCCCTCATGTAGACAAGTGATTTACTTTCGATCCAGTGCGTATAAAGCAATGGTTTGCAACTACTAGTGCCTTCTACGTTATTGCGCTTTCTCTGTTTGTATAATTTATACTGATAGACCGACTTTTATCATTTAGACCTGTATCATTCTCCACATGTATATATAATCAGACACAATAGCATTGTTGTCGACAATACCAGGGAGTAATAGCATATTCTAATGCATAAATTATAAATATCTGATACATTCAATTTTCTCAGAATACTACGGGGTTCTCCTAGTGGAGCCAATAAAAATGAACAAATTTTGCGTTAGTTGTTAATCAAGATATACAGGGTAACGGAAAAATAGATAACAGAGCCGGTGGGGGGAGATAGTACAAGCAAGCCAATTTGAGTCGTTTTTACTATAGGAACTACTGTCCGAAAATTAACCGTTTATACTAATTTTTAAGGTTTTATAAAATTAACGTCCTTTATACGTTAACCAAGTCATAAAACTTGAAAATTGGGTGATTCGTTTGATTTTTTTGGTTTTACAATAAAAATATTCTAAAATACGAAAATTGATACTCAAATGTGCATTATTGTCGTTATCTCATGCAATAAGCTTCAAAATAGTTCGACTTTTGGTAAAAAAATCTTCGTTCATCCCAAAAGCTTCAGTTTACTAGAAAAAGTCACATACAAATTCTACGTACAAAATAATTAGAAAACATCTACGTTTCACTACCTTTCAAATGAGGTATAAAAATCACAAAATCGATTAAGAATTGGCAAAAATGTGACTATTATAAAAGGAGGAAGGAAAAAGCAATAAAAATACTAACCTTACAAAATCGTACCTTAATACAGGATAATTTGTTTGAAACTACATTTTTTATTTTCATAATACATTTCCAGTATGGCACCCTCTATTTCTAATGCACACACGCGCTCTTCTTATGACTTAGTCTGAAATGTGCTGAAAAATCATTCTGTGTCTTGTGTGTAGCGGCACGTCTTCAAGTAATTCAAATAGAACATATCTTGAGAAATTTCCGTAGGCTTCTCCATTTAAGTTGTCGGCTGGGAAATGGGTTCCTACTAATCAGTTATGAATAATGCCTATCCAGACATTCAGACAAAATCGCTTTTGAGGTCCTTTTGGTCTCTTCATAAGAGGATTTTTCACTGCACGTTCACGTCAATAGTGAGCGTTATCGTAGTTTGTTATGCCAACTTTATCAAGTTTTGATTTGTCGGTCCATAGAATTTTTCTTAAATAATTGCTATCTTCAACATCAGCGTTTAAAATAAAACGACAAAATTGCATGCGCCTCATCAGATCTCCTGCCTCTATGACGTGCACAGGTGTGTAGTGGTAAGGGTGGAATATGATTTCATGCAAAACATACCACACTTGCCATTGGGATAATCCAAGCCGTGGAGCCACAGCGCGAGTAGAGAGAGTAGGGTCTCTTTGGAAAATATTTTAATATTTCTTCTTCTTCTTCCACATCATGCCGAGGTCTACCTGCACCACCTGAAATAAAATGAAAAAACAAATAACAACAGTTTTTTGGAGGAAATTGTTACCTAATAAACATAGCGGTGAGACTATGAGCTAGAGTTGGCAAAATATTATTTAGAAAAAACGATACACAACGTATGGATGTTTCCATCTTCAGAGCCGGTTAGATGTTCGTGTTAAAATTAAATGAATAAACTCTCAATTAAAAATTTCAATCAACTGTATCAAAACAACTATGTCACAGTATCATCAGTTCAGCCCACAGACCTCCAAGGCTCTACATAGGCCTTACTGAATGACTGATTATAATAAGTTGATAATTATCAATGATGCAAACTTACCTTGATATCTTACGTCGGTACCGAGCTCTCGAACCCGACGGAACGTTTGCCTAAATACGCGGGCGTCGGGTAGGCGACGATTAGGAACCATTTCCCCATACTCACGACGAGCTTCTTCAGCATTGTCTCTGGCATCTCCATAGTAGAAAAGGATATCGGCATATTCTTCGAAACTGAACGGCCGCCTCCTTTGTTCATCAGCCATTGTTCATCGATAGGTAGATCAACGAACTATCGAGTCACACAGCAGCAAAGTCGTAAGGAAACACAGAAAACAGGGTACAGTCTAGGTCGTCAGGAAAAGAATCACACACAGTCCAAGTCGTTAGAAATAGCACAACAGCGAGCAAACAAACACATTCGAACGCAACAAATCGCAAGAGCAGATAGAAGCGAGGGAGGGAGGGTGGTGACTAGTCTTACTTATCGCACTATTTTATAGCGGGCAAATCTACAACAGATGGGGTATTAAGTATAGTAGATGAAATAACCCAAAATATAGATGGAAAAGTACCATCGATATGCGTATTTGTGGACTTACAAAAAGCGTTTGACACAGTTAACCACAATATACTTTTGGAAATCTTAGAAAAAATAGGTTTTCGTGGAAAGATGTATACTTTAATGGAAAATTATTTATCAAATAGACCACAATCAGTAAAATTATTAAGCTCGAATAGTAAAGAAATGTTTGTTAAAGGTGGTGTTCCACAAGGTAGAATTTTGGGTCCTCTGTTATTCAATATTTATTTAAACGATATATTCAAAATTAACAGTACTGGTAAAATAGTCAGTTTTGCAGACGATACTGCTATACTCTATAAAGGTAAGGATTGGAACGACTTAAAAGATATTATCCAAAATGACTTTTGCAAAATTATTCAGTGGTTTAATAACCGAAAATTAACAATTAACTTTACTAAAACTCATTTTTTACCATTTTCATCAATATCTAATTATCTACCAAAATATAACCACCTTCGGTTTAAGGTAAATGATAAAAATATAAAAATCAATAGAGTTAATGATACAAAATATTTAGGAATTTATCTAGATCCCCACTTGAGATGGGATGTACATATTTCTCACATACTAAAGAAAATTAGATTCATAGCATATAAAATAAAATTTCTAACCGGTATATTAACTGAATATTATCTACGATTAATATATCAAGCTTTAGTCGAGCCACACATAACATATGGTATAGTAGTGTGGGGTGCTGCATGCACGACATACTTTAACGATTTAGATGTACTTCAAAGAAGAATTTTAAAATCAATGTTAGGCAAATAAAAATTATACCCAACTAATGACTTATATAATGATGCACAAGTATATGATACCAAACAACTTTACTTCTTACATACCATCACTCATTATCACAAAACTATTAGTGAACACGACATAATTAAACATAATCATAAAACCAGATATAAATTACGCGCAAAAAATGTTCCTAAACCAAACAAATCCCTAATGAAACGATGTCACCTGTATATAGCTCCAAAATTGTACGAACATTTACCAAATAATTTAAAACAATTACGCAATACATTAGGCTTCAAAAAAAAAATTAAAAAAATTTATTAACACTATTGGGAGAAATCAAATTAATAAAATATTCTCAAATATTACACAATAAATGCTCTACCATTCTTACCAATAATTTCTTTTTTCTCTCTATTTTATTATATTTTGCAATTCAACATACATATGATCCATGCACAGGCGTTGTCCTCCTATGGATATATTATATTTATTTACTCGTTTCATGTTCCCTGTATTTTAGAGTAAATAAATATTATTATTATTATTATTATTATTATTCCGGTGGCAAAGTCCCATGTTCGCGGCTCTACCTGTTTCTTTCACCATATCTTTGTCATGTCTAAACCGGTTTGTGACTTTGATACCTCATTTGAAAGGTAATGAAACGCAGATATTTTAAAATTATTTTGCACGACAAATTTTTAGGTGATTGTCTCTAGTAAATTGAGTTTTTGAGATGAACTAAGACTTTTTTTAACAAAAATTGAACTATTTTGAAGCTTAGCTTAGCTGAGATAACGTTTGAGTAACAATTTTCGTTTTGTAGAATATGTTTATCGTAAAACCAAAAAAAATCAAATTTAACGCCCAATTTTCAAGTTTTATGACTTGGTTAACGTATAAAGGACGTTAATTTCGTAAAATCTTAAAAATTAGTATAATTCCAAAACGGCTAATTTTCGGACAGTAGTTCCTATGGTAAAATCGACTCAGATTGGCTTGTACTAACTCCCCCCACCGGCTCCGCATCTATTTTCCCGTTACCCTGTATATGAAGCTGCAATTTTTGTCAGGCAGTTTTCCCAGTTCTCGTTTAAACGAGACAACGCCCCACTTTCAGAAGGTTGGCTCTCGAGGGCCTTAAGAAAGTATTCTACTTTATAACGAGATTGAACATATGTTCACAAGAGAAAGATTATACTAAGATTAAGATTCGTGAAGTTCTCATACTAACACCTTACACAAAGAAGAGATAGAGTACTCTCATCAAAGTTACCTTAAAGCGCCCTTATGTTTCTGAATGAAGTTTTTGTTTGTGTTTTAGTACGCGTCGCTGTTGAGGCCGCCCCTAAGTGACAGTTCTGCGCCTGGCTCCGAAGTCATCAATAAAGTCGAGTGGAAACAGGTGAGTTAATGACGTAGTCTGTTATTGTGTTTGCCATCTATTGTGTAGTATAAGAGCTCTACATCAGATCGAAGCTAGAATACGCGTGTCGAACCGTTCAACAGTTATACTCGAAAAGCCGTCTAAATTATTTATGATTGAGCAATTGTTTTCCTTCAAGCTCAACTTTTCAATGTTTGCTTAAGTAATATTTAAAAAGGTTTTATCTTTTCGCCTTATAACTGCTTAAGACAAGTTATTGAGGCTGAACTATACTTTAGCGCATATCGCAAATATTACATTTCTTATTTTAAAATGAAAGATTAGGATGCACGAAAATATCATTTTTTCTTTAAGGAATCCTCTGCTTCCTATTTTATAGAACTTCAAAGTTGCATTTTGTGTGGTAGTACTGTTACTGCTTTATAAGATGATTTTTTCTTGTTCACACAAAATGTTACTCAAAATTATATGAATATAACTTACAATGTAAATTACTGTGACACTGTTCACCGCAATAATGCAGTTTTGCATTATTTTAATAATGAAATTAGTTCACTGTTAAGTAGTAATTTCTTTTATTTTAGATAAATATTCCATCACTACACCACCATCCACCACCATGACTATCCTACTCTCTCCATCTAGCTGCGATGTTGCCAAATAATGGATAGTTATATACCGTAATTTGGTTTGTCATAAACTAGATTTCGAGGTGTGGCCGGCAGGTTTACTGTACTAAATCCACTCGTAACCTCCCATAGCGTTAGCTAGACACTTTTTTGAAGAATGCCTTATGCCCTTCACAAAAGTACTTCGGTTGTTGTTTTTCCTATATTATAGTTATAATCTATTTACTTCTTGAAGAATTATTTAAAGTGAAGCTAATGTCACAAAATATACCTAATTGAATGTGATATATATGAGAAATAACTGAAAAAGTAGCTGTTGTCAATCACTAAATAATGAAAACATAACAAAGAACATTGCAAGTTTTTTGATGATTTGATGAAATGATCGTTGATCTTTATTTAACTATAATGTTGGACGATGATATGTTGGGTGGACCTAGCCAGGTGGTCCAAGTCGACGAATCGAAGTTGGTTTTTTTATATGCAATGACCGCTGGTGCCTTTTGTATTTTCTATGTCACGCTGGTGCATTTTCCAGTGTTTAGACACGTACTGTTCAAAATTTCATCAAGTTTTCGGTAAATATTGGGTCAATTCTCATAAAACAAGCCATTTACAATAAACTGAGACGTTTATTTTGCAAATAACCTCATTTTTTTTTCACGTATTTCTCCCAAAAAAAAAATATACAACCTGGCAACAATGGACATCATTTATCTTATCTGTCAAGAAATGGACGTTATAAAATGGCCATTCAGAATTGTTTGTACCTCCAAATATTTCTTATAAACGCAAAAAATTTGATCTGGTTTGAACACGGCTGATTTTTTACAGTTTCACATCTATTTTCCTTAATACAGTGTATGTCATATTCTTATAATTTTGAGCATCATTTTGTGCAAAAAGCAAAAAAAGCGTATAAAACAGTATTCCATTCTCCAAAAATGCAAGTTTGAAGTTCTATAAAATAGCAAGCAGAGGGTTCCTTAAAGAAAAAATGATATTTTCATGCAAGTTACATCTAATCTTTCATTTTAAATTAAGAAACGTATTTGCGATATGAGCTAAAGTAAAGGCTTACCGTTATTGTACACGAACAAACGATTTGTCCTTGTATATTTGCAGAAACTGTGAAACCAAGTTGTGAGCATTTGCGAGGTATTATTTTTACCTACCCGAAAATTCCTGTTACAAATGTTAGTAATCATCGAATCCGAATCTAGAATAAGGATGTTACCACTGGTGATGGTGGATTCAATAGCCCACTGAAAATTACGACATAACCAAGAAGAAGCTTTGACTCCTGGATTTGAGCCTTTATAGCAAATTGCGCCAAAAAATATCACTTATTCACTAACAATGTTGTACTGGCCACGTTCATCAGAGCACAGCGTTAATGGAAATATTATTGTCTGTAGAACTACAAGAACTCTCCATTCTGAATCGTAAAAGTTCGTCATGGAATAAAACAATTCCGAAATAACTAGACTATGACGCGTGTTGCTAAAGTACCTGAGCCAAAGATCAAGGGGTGATTCCAAGAAAATGGTAATGCTAACATAGGTCTGAAAATATATCGCTTTCAAAATAAGAACTCTAACCTTTTCTAGGATTTTTTGTTGAATTTTCGCATACAGAGTGCTGAATTAAGTCGAATAAAAGCTAAACCCCAAATGTCGCATCTTTGGTTTCAGATGGATATTTCGAGCTTTGGTTTTCTTCGTTCGTTTTTCTTGTATGGTTTAAATCAAATTTTCGGCGATGCGTCTGCATGTGCTGATTTTCAACAATACCAGCTACACCATTAACAGAATTTTGATAGAGAGGACGAATTTTCTAAAAAAAAAATTGACACGTTGTTTAACTTTAGTTCACCATGATTTGTTGATTATTCTGCTTCATGCATTAACCAGCTTTGAGCCCAAAAATATGACGGCCAAGTTTATGGTAATATATGAGATTAAAATTCAACGCTTATCCCACACCACCAATCTGAAGCTCGATTCAAGCTTGAGAGGATTCCAACTTTTAATCCGGAGGGTAATAGAACCGTCCCCAACAAAGGTAATTTAAATTTCTGATGTCAGATGTGAATTCAGATACAGAATTAGAAAGTTGACGGAACAGCAGAATAGTACGAACAACGCTAAAACAAATATGCAGACTTCTAAATATACAGCTATCACGCCGGTACAGTTAAAATGATGCCGCAGTTAATGATCTAGAAAATCAGGATTTACCAAAAATATTAGTACAAGTTATAAGAAATCCTTCGATGTATTCCTGCGGAGATACAAACCGCTAAATGACGCCATTTGACAGCCATTTTCCTCAAATATCTTCCGAACGACGCTGCATATGACAAGGAAATTTTGATAGCAGAACCAAGAGGTTACTACGCTCTCAAAATTTGATTGAATTACGAAGTGTCATTCAACAGTTATATAGGAAAATTTGACGTCAGTGCCATCTTTTAGAGACATGTATTCTAATAGGGGAGTCTAGTAGAACTTTCTTTTTTTTCTTCGCTGATAGGACTTGATGACTTTAATTAGTGGCTTTCGATAAATCCAAATGAAGAAACCAAAACCACGCTCAATAAGAACAAAAATGCATAAATCCAACACGTAACGTTGAGAAAGAATAAATTTGGAATAGCAGATCTCGACAAAATACCACAGTATACTTTGGAATCATGCTAAGATCTTACACAAAGAAACATCTCTGAAATCGGAAAAATCAAGTAAGCGGCGTTCATAATAATGAATGAAAATGCTTATAGTAGTCTAAGGACCAATTTCACCAACAACAGACGGTTATTCTCCACCTATAGGGTAACAGACCGTCAGATACAGCGAATGAGCTTCAAGTTCCAATCAACAAATTTTAGATACCAATAGCTATGAAATGTTGAAAACAAAATACTGTCAAAGTATGAGATGACAACTTGTCATTGAAACATCACCAGCTTATAGAATATTAAGAAATTACATATAATGCAGTCAAAATTTTAAGAAATGTTTGATTTTTGAATTAAATTCATGTTTTAATTTCTATTGTTGATTTTTTATTCATGTTTATATTATTTTCTTCAATTGACATGTGATACTGGGTGTTTTTTCCTATAAACCTCTTGCAGATAGCCATTAAGCACCTACTTGATGACAGGCTCTACCAAAAGATATTGCTCGTTTCCAAACATTCATTCATTTACTTGCCGTTCATCAGAACCATTATGGCACCTTAGATTGATATTCCCACAAAACCATTCAGGTGTTTTGATATCCATACATCCATAAAGTACTGAACAAACATCCACACTATATTCACAGCGATTAATAAATTTCCAAATATACGCCTTATAGCTACCATCAAACCTAAAACCTGCAAATTGCCATATTTTTCTTTTTTCACGAGTACCCGTTCTACGTTATATTTATATTAGACATTATTTGAATACAGCTGATTATTGCATTTCTAGCAGTGACACATGTGTGGGATCTGTCAACTCTTGGTACCAGTCAGAAAACATATTATACTCTGAAGGTTTAATTCCATGCTATTCAATGACAACACGGTGACTTGTGTGGTTATCAGCGGCCATTTTGCGAGGATGCGACAGGGTTGCCAGATTGTGCATTAATATCCCGTTTCACCACCTGGTCCCAGTGGAGTAAGTTCCGCCAACTGTTGAAATATACTCTACTTTCTACTATGCTTTATAAGACTATTCGTGACATTTTTCCCAAAATCATTGCACAAAGATGCAAATTAAAATTTAAAATTATTTCCTTGACGCCGCAATGCCCCTTTGAAGTTGAGTCATCAATTTTCATATAATGATTGTAGAAGGAAGATAAACCAAAATATGTGTGTAATTAAAAAAAATGTTACCTTGTTTTACAAAGTATCCTCCCGACAAGTATTTCAGTGCTGACCTGTATTTGATCGTGCGGTCTTGGAGTACCGGCATGCCCTCCCCAGTGAGGTCTTAAGTCACCTGATTCACGAGCCCTTTGTACTACATTAACAAAGGCACGAGGGGTTGGTTGCACTCGATTGGGAAACCGATCCGCATAAATCCGTGATGCCGCGTAAATAAGAATCATGTCCACAAGTCCAGCATTTTCGTAAACATATGCCATTTTTGATTTCGTTTGAGCCACGCAACAGACACCACTATTCACTCACGCGTTACCGACTGACATTGACTGAATACAACTGAATAAAATAATTGTAAAAACATCGTTCCAAATTCTTTCGCTTTTTTGTTTCTGATGCGATGAACCGATAAGGCGGATTATATCCGTTGTTGCCAAACACGAGCACATAATATTATTATTGAGACAGGGCGGTACTCAAACTTCTAAAGGGCTATAACTTTGTTACTTTAATTTTACCAGAAAAATGTTAAAGGAAAAAAGCATTTCCTTTGATCAGATCTACTCACTGTTAAAATAAATGACTCAACTTCGAAGTCACCCTGTATGTATGTTAGTACTGTCGCACATATCGCTGTTTTCATACCTCAGCTTATAAAACGACCCATAACGACAAAACATGCCACTATATATTAAAGAACGCATACACAGCGAATCACAAAAATGGAATTGGGACAGTAGGGATGTTCGATACGATCCTATATTTAGAAGTATCAATACATTTCACGAGTATCGTCATCTTTCGATCCGGACTGTGTCAGAAAGAGTGGCTGCCATTTGGCTGCGACATTACCCTGCCAAATCAGACATATCTTTCATCATTTTCAAAGAAATTGTACAAAATCTTCAAATTTGTGAAGTTAGCGAGTTTCACTTCATACGTTACCAGACATGCCACGGCTAGGCAACCTGAATGTAAAATTTGTATTGATAGGGCAGCGGATTATGCCATAAATCATATGTCACACTGTTTGTGCACTGATTGCAACGGTTAGATGATACCAAAAATATTTTCATAAATAGGAGATCTTTCCCATTCCGGATCGAACAATCTACCAAAGATGCTTATAATCATGATACCTAGTAAATTTTCACGAAAAAAACTCAAAACCAGCAAATCTAAAAGATTAATTTCGCACCCTCCACCACGGGACGTGATCGTCGTTAGACTTGGCAACCCTGCGAGTGTCAGATAGATATCCCCGCCAGTAAAAAGAAATAGACAAACAATAAACATTACTAGTTTTTTTGATTTTTGGACTTAAAATCCATTATCTGTGAAACATTTTTCATAATTTTTTGTCTATGTCCATAGTAATTGCATTATGCACCAGGGAGACGTACAGATTGACACGTCTTACACATATTATCTGTGTTTTAGGATGGGGAGGACATAATATTTTTATTGCTTTGAAGAAATTCATTAACCCATAAATTAATAAATGATTACTATTATGACGTAAAGGAAGATGAGGAATTGCATGGAATGTATTTTATATTCTAAACAATGGAAGTTCGACAAACAAAATCTCACTCATCCACATTGTCATCAAATTTCAAACATCAGTTGAAAAAAACCTAGTCCTGAGATTCGCTTGGCCACCATGTTGTACAGCAGATGTTTAACGCTCATCATCCCCGCTTCTTGAAAAACTATATTCACAAGGTGGCAGCACAGGGGCCAAATTCATTATTAAGTCAAACCTTACCCACAGTTCTCTGAACAAGCCAATCATGGTGTCAGAAAGCAACGTTGCCAGATCGGTCCATGCTTGTGATGGTAAGAAATATTTAACTGACTGACAATTGTTCCACCGACCAGTGCAGCATTCTTCTATATCACCTTCCAATGGAACCAGTGGTCACAGGGAATAACCCAGTAACGTATCTCGAGCCACTACTTTGCTCCTGTTAGAGACATATTGGTGAACCTAAATCATTTTTTTTTGTTTTTGTAACGTCACACATTTCAACATTCATCTAAACCATGTACAGGCGTCGCCCTTCTGAGGATATAAACATATTTGTTTACCCATCCTATATTGTTATTATTGTCGATATAGTGGCGGCGAGGTGGAGGACGAAAAAAGAAAATAATAAAAATGATTCGAACATCTTTGTTTGGCGTTTCAGAGGGTCCTAATGATTTTTGAAAAACAATTTATAGGGATTGAAAAATGGGAAGCGAGTGTTGAAGGATGTAGGAGGTTGTAGATATTCCGTCTTTAGTACCAGTAAAAGACACTCTATCATTAAGAATCTTCTGACCCCGGCAACAACGGGAAAATTAAGTGATATAAGTCCGATATACAATGTGCTCATAGTTTGAAATCTAAGTCTACCCAAATTTCGGGAAAAATAGCTGCGGATTCCACATAAGAGTATTCCAAAAATGAAAAAAGTTCAAACTATTAAAATTGTATTAATGTTTCATGGTTCAAATCATATTTTTCATGTTTGTATATTGTTGTATAAATGATTTTGTAATCCCTATTCTTGTCGCCAGTAGAGATACAACAGTATTGAGAGAAATCATGGACCGCTAGA